CTCTTTTCTTCCAGATTTTGGCCACCCCCTCGACGGCCAGAGGACTGTGACCACCTTCCAGTTATTGCTGCCTTGAGTTTTGAGCTCTTAAAGCTGCGGCGTTGTGTTAAATATCGCCGAAATTATTGTTGGTTTGAGCCCCCCGGGGGAGTGGATTGTGTTGGTGGCACAGTGGGGACGTTGTGCCTCGGAAAGGGCAATTTTACAGCTTACACTTCACACCCCCTCCCCTCCCCCCCCCCCCCAAGCCCTTCCCTGCAACAAAGTTGGGTGGAAGAGGTTGAAGACCCCCCTGTCATGCTCAGAACTGCTGCAGAACCTGGCCAGGAGGCAGGGAAGGCAAAATCCCGCTCTTCCAGGGCTCCTGGGATGGGCAGAAATTGGAGTTTATGGCTGTGGGATGTGATGTTGCAAGAGCTGGAGCTGCCCACGGTGTCTTTCAGCTTGGGAACAAGGAGCAGCGTGGCTTTGGGGTGGCCTCAGCACCAGTGAAATAGCTCTCCCCCCCCAAAAAAAAAAAAAAAACAAAAAACCCAAAACCCAGCTCTTAAATACATTGTCTTGCAGACCAAGCATTCCTGAGCCCCCCCTAACCTGCAGGCTGGCTTTCCCCCCCCTCCAAAAGAAGTCTCCCTGCTGAGGGAGTCTTTGTCTCTGCTGAGAGAGTCTTTCCCCTCATCCCAAAAAGCTGTGGGATGGAGCAGGATTGTGCCTCCTCCCAGTGCTGGCTGATCCCTGGCTCTGGGGGGGGGCTGTGGCAGCTGTTGAGACCCCCAGATTGCAGCCCCTCAGTGGGGGGAGAAGTGGGCAGTTCACAGCCCACCACGAGGGGCTTTAAACCCCTCACATCCTTGGGGGGGTTGACTGGAGCCTGGGAGCAGGGGATCCCAAAGACCAGCTGCCAATCCCAGGGCAGGCTCCGAGCTGAAGGTGCCGGGGGGGGGGAATCGCTTTGGAGGGCGATTCCAGAGTGGTTTGCAAGCACAGGGTGACCCCGAGGGCTCCTGCAGAGCTTTGATGTCTGTCCCTCTCTCTCCCCCTCCTCTCCATCCCCGCTGCCCCTCTGTCCCCTCTCAATCCAGCAAGGTTAGTCCGGACAGAGTCAGTGCCCTGCGACATCAACAACCCCCTGCGGAAGCCCCCCCGCTACTCGGACCTGCACGTCAGCCAGACCCTGCCCAAAACCAACAAACTCAACAAGGTGAGCTGCTCCCCCAGCCCTGAGCACCCCCTGTGCCCACCCCCTGCCAGAGGGGACCGCACCCACCGCACCCAAATGTCGGCAGCTTTTCACAGAATCTTGGAATTGTTCAGGTTGGAAAAGGCCTCCAAGATCATCGAGTCCAACTGTCCCCAGCACTGCCAAGGCCACCACTGACCATATCCCCAAGTGCCACATCCACATGGATTTTAAACCCCTCCAGGGATGGGGACTCCACCCCTGCCCTGGGCAACCCTTTCCATGAAGGAATTTTCCCAATATTCAACCTGAGCCTCCCCTGGCACAGCTGGAGGCCATTCCCTCTCTTCCTGTCCCTGTTCCCTGGGAGCAGAGCCTGTTCCCCCCCAGCTCCCCCCTCCTGTCAGGGAGTGCAGAGCCAGAAGGTCCCCCCTGAGCCTCCTTTTCTCCAGGCTGAGCCCCCCCAGCTCCCTCAGCTGCTCCTGCTGCTCCAGCCCCCTCCCATCTCTGTTCCCTTCTCTGGACACGCTCCAGCCCCTCCATGTCCTTCTTGTCACATGGACATGAATCCAGATGGGGTATCTCCCAGCCCTCAGGGTCTGCCAGGATCAAACCTTGCAGGTGTCCTGGTGTGTCACCAGGCACATCCACTGCTATAGGTGTCAGCACCTAAAAACCTGCTTGGAGGCTCAAATGAATCAAATAATCCCATGGATTGGTGCTAATTCAGGGAGAAGGGTGAGCTCGGTAGTAAGGAAGGATGAGTTGAATTGCAAACCTCTCGCTCCTTGGTGTTCCCATTGTGGGATGCTTCCCATGGGGTTATTTAATTTAAAAATAAAATGGCACCAGCACTTTTAAACCAGCTGGGTCCTCCTGTCCTGGTCCTGCTCCTTTGTGGCCTCTCAGTCTCCAGGTCTGAGCTGAATTTGGGGTGTTTTGAGGCTTCTGCTGCCACCAGAGACTGGAGTAAACAAGGAATTTAT